GGGCGGGCGGAGGCGGGGGGCGGGGGGCGCAGCTGTCTGGGCACCTGCCGGGTCCGCCTCTTTCCGGCCTAGAGGGCTGGGGCAGTTTACTGAGTCTCTGCCTCAGTTTTCTCTCTGGGAAATGAGGGTGCTCCCCGCCCCATAGGGTTTTCGTACATAACCTGTAAAAGAGGTACGAGGCGTGCCCAGCTCGGCCCAGTGTGCACAAGAGGTGTCTGGAGCTGCTGTCCTTTTTATGACAACTTCCCGACTTGCGGTCTCTGCCCCCCGATGGCAGAATGCTGTCGCTGTCCGAGCAAAGGCTATTTAGGCCCAGATTAAATCCCTGTAGGTGAGTGCCCTCCGGGCCAGAACGCCCTTTCCAGACAGGTTCTGCCCAGAGCCTCTGTCCCGGCAGGGGCCTGGGCCTGACCCAGCCATCATGTTGTAGAAGGCACGGGGAGGTGCCACCAGGAGAGGCCCCAGCACAGGACACGAGCCAGCACTGTCCCCTGGGCTCGCTGGAACAGCCCACATATGGCTCCTTGTCTGTTTTTCTCAATTTGCTGCTGTTCTGCCCAGCACCGTGAGTGAACACACACTGGCTCACGTGCACATTCATGGAAATGAAATCTCACCTCAAACAAAACAAACCAACCCTCTCCCCCAACTACATGATCGGACAGTTAATCACAAGGTGTTATTGACCAGTTGCTGCGTGCATGGCTCACGCTTGGCACTGCGGGTGACCTGGCTCCGGGCAGAGCCTCCCGCGTTCTCCGGGTTCCCCTGCGCCCTCGGAGCCGCAGGCGATGGGCGGCCCGGCAGGCCGAGGGCAGGGCAGAGTGCCGGCTGCTCCGTGTGGGCGGGTGGGTGTTCCCCTGGCTTGGACCCAGGTATGTGTTAGGTGCCCTGAGCATTTTGTTTCTCTCACCCCGAGTGGCGCTCTGTGCTGCCCACGGAGCTGTGCTGTCACTCTGTCTCCATCTGGGGCAGATGCCGGGCCACACCGCTGGGGCATCAGAGCCCCGTCCATCCTGGCCACTCAGGCCCCTCCTGCCATCCCCACGCACCGTACAGTAACCGCCCTACCTTCCAAGAAAGGCGGAGGCTTCGCCTGGCTTTTTTTTCATCTTAACTTATACTTTTTAATGGACTATTTTTAGAGTAGTTTTAGGTTACAGAAAAATTGGCCAGGAGGTATCAAGTTCTGACACGCAGGTGTGCTACATTTGTTACAGTTGATGAGCCAATAGTGATCTGTTACAGCTGATGAGCTGATAGTGACTTGTTACAATTGATGAGGTGACAGGTGGTTGGGTCAGAGCCCTGTTTCCCAGGAAAGCTGAGATAACTCCGAGCTCGGATTTGTCACGTTTAGTGCTAACTCTGCATTTTCTTCCAGTCGTTGCCATCTGGACACATACAAGGAACATTTGAACAGGCCAATAAAGAAGAAAACAGAGAAAAAAACAGATATCCCAACATCCTTCCCAGTAAGATTTCATTTTTTTTGCATGGTTGGTGGCGTTTTGACTAAACTGCGAATTCCCTTGCAGCTGCCCATGACAGTGCTTGTCCGAGCGGAGTGACAGTTGGTGCTTGGAGCCCCTGTCAGCGCCTGGCCTGTAGGTGCCTGTCTGCTGCTGGACACTGGCAGCCTGCGATGGCGAGGGTCTGGCTGCTGAGCCTGTGTTTAATGAGACCTGGGCTGCCCAGGGGCCAAGAGGGGGCCTGCACTGGGGGGCAGGGCCCCTCCTACCAAATCCATTCCTGAGCCCCAGCCAGGGCAGCTGGTGGCCCTGGGCATCTCCCCTTCTTGGACTCAGCTCTCAGCCACCAGCAGAAATGACAAATGAGAAATCTGTAGGGCTTTGGCAACGTTGTGGGAAAGCTTCCTTCCAGTAAACCCGATTTTACCCCAGCAGCTAAAGATTGCCAGGGCTGGAGAGTGAGAGCTCGAGAGGGTGCAGGCCAACTGGGGAGTTGACAGATTTGTCCAGGGGCGTCAGTGGCCAGGCCATGCTCCTGGGGTGGCCTTCACAGCCAGCCTCGCTGCCAAGACAAACCCCCAGAGTTCCAGCGGCCTTGGTGAAAGCTGGCCCGGGAGGGTTGCCATGTCCTTCCTTCAGCCTGGAGCCCTCTTATCACCTGTGCCCATCAGGCTGACAGTGTGGCAGCCTCGAGGACTCCACTGAGTTCAGGTTTGCACCCTGACCCCGAGGCCTTCCCCAGTCCAGGAACCTCCCTTCTCAGCAGCCCCTCAGTGGATTGAGGAGCCAGCCTGTGCCATGGCTTCAGCGTGTTGGCTCTGGGTTGCATTTTTCAGGTTAGAAGTGAGTCCACGTACATCCTCTGTAGGTGAGAGAAGCTGTGGTCAGGTGACTTGTGTGATCTCTGGATTTTCAGCTCCTGGGAGAAATAGTTCTTTCCCATTTCGCATGCACCTGGTTTATGGTTTTGCAGAGCCCCCTGACCCTATGATCCAACTAAGACTAGAGAAATTAACCAAATGTCTTTCATCCCACGGGTATTTGTGGAGGAGGCCAGGGGGTGGGGTCAGGTGGCTGCTGTGCCCCCCGGGGCTGAGCCGGGAGGGTGGCTGGGACCAGGGTTGCTTCTGGACACACCTTACAGGGGGTGTTGAGAGGCTTTGCTGCTAGACAAGGTGTGGGTGCGAGAGAAGAGCAGAGAGGTAAGTGGTGGGGCTGGGTCGGCCTAGAAGAGGAAAACCTGGTGGGAGGTTGGGATCTTTGGAATAATCATGTCAAATAAAAACCGAGATATTTGGAAATTAGTAACTATGATTAGTATAGTTAGCTTAATTAATTAGTTTAATTCATGTATTGATCAATGGAATATAGGTATGTGTTGGGGACCTACTCCGGGCCAACCACCTTCCTAGGTTCCTGACCTACATTTCTTAATCGCTAAGCCCTCTGTCCTTTAAAGGCAATATTTACGTTGCTAATTAAGAGTATTTTCGGTGGGACTTTAATGAGAGCGGATCTCATGGCCAGGTGTGGGAATTACCTGCACCCCCAGGCAGCCCCTCCTCCTCTCCGATGTGAGGGCCCAGGATGGAGGCCGCACCTCCTCTGAGGGTCACCAACCAGGCAAAGCAGGGCCTGCCTCCTGCCCATCGTCGGGAAGCTGTGTTCTCCGGCGTGTACTGCGGAAGGAGGTTGGCCTTCGCTGTAGGTGTGAAATGTGACAGGCACAGAGCAGGCTTTTCTGACATCTCCGTAAGTTCTCTCTCCCCACCCAGGTGAGGGCCCTACCCCAGCCCCTCCCAGCCCAGGAGCACCTCCCCAGTGAAAATCGGGGGTGCTGGCAGTCACCAATGGCCAGGGGACTCTGCCGGGACGTGACACATTTCACATTGGTGGACGTTGGGTTACGGGATGGTGGCATGGGCACACTCAAGATGTACCCTGGAGATGGCCAGCTGGGTGGCATCTGGCCTTTGCCATCAGCATAACACAGGCTGAATGAGGGGGTATATGATTTATCTGATGTTGGCCAAAGCTGCCCCGGGCCCTGCTGGGGGCTAGGACAGGAGTGGGCTGGACCAGGGGACTTTGTGCAGGGGACCGAGAGACCCCACTCTTACACATGGTGGGATCAGCAGGCAGGAAGAGGGGCTGGGTCCCAACTCCCACAGCCTCAGGCACCTTCCCCCAAGTCCAGATTGGCTGTAAAGGGCAGGGCGGGGGAGGGGAGACACACCAGGCTCCCTGGCTGGTGACCAGAATGTCCTATTTTCTGGGAAGACGCCTACCAGCTGATAAATTTAGGAAATAGTGTTTTGAAAGTGAAGTGTGACTTTTTGGAATAAAAATACAGGAAGCTCTTAGAAATGGGAAGATCTAAATCTCACCAGAAGTCTATTTAAAACCTCTGCGCTCCATAGCGTTTGTCACAGTGTAAATTCTTCTCGTGATTTTTAACCAGCTGCATGCCCATGCTCTGCCTCTGGGTGGTCAGCCCCTGGGCACGAGGATCTCATGGCCAAGTCCATGCAGTCTGTGAGTCTTGGATCAGACACCCTGGCCACCCCGCGTGGGCCGTGACTGTCTGGCCCGGCGATACGAGGTCCACACAGTGGGTGTCTGAGGCCAGCAGCCACCTTCCAGGTGGATGGGGGGCAGCAGCCCTCACCCGGGTGCCTGCCCCAGGTGCCCACCACAGACACAGCCCCTCGGTGAGTTTCAGTCCTGTGACCCGAGGAGGGGACAGAGCAGGGGCAAAGACACAGAATTATTCTATAATCGGTGCCATAAATACAGACAAAGTGGCCGCCGCATGCCGCGTTCTGGGCCAGCGCAGCCGGGATGGGCCAGGCAGCTGGGTGTGTCTCCTCCCGGAGGCCAGCGCTGGCCCAGCCACCGGACGGGGCGGGCACGGCGCTCTCAGGGCCATGAGTCGCCTCCTCTCCTCTGAGATCAGAGAAAGGACAGGATGAGAACCCTGCCCGGCTCACACTCCTGTCCCTGCTGACTGCTAACCCAGCTCCAGGTGCTTAACAACCTTGCGAAGGCGAAACCCCGAGGGCGGGGGTGACAGAGACCCGCACAAGTCATAGAGGGGCAGGTTGAAGCCTCCCCGGAGTGTGCGACATACACACAAACCCCAGAAGCACACCCACCCTCCCCCCACTCACACACACAATTTACATGCACACACTCTCACAGACACCACACACACCACTCACACACAGCCCGCACACTCACACACTCACACGGAGCACTCCCGGCCAGCCTCCCTCTGGAAAACTGCTTGCACCCCAGGAGGAGTCTTCCAGCAGGTGGCCCATCAGGCCCAGGTCTGTGCGAGTCCTGCACCTTCCTTTCTGGGGCAGGCCCGAAGCATGAGAATTGGGGCCTGCAGTCCGGAGCCCCAGACCCAAATGTCCGCCTGTCCAGAGGTACAGTAGCCGGCCCCCCGGGAAGCCTGGGAGAGTGGACCTCAAAAGTTCTCCTACGTGCATCTACACGTGTCAGTACTGGGCGCCGCGGGGGCTCAGAGGGCACGGCTGCGCACAGTAGGGCCCCCACAGTGCGCCGCCCTCTCTCTGCGGCAGGGGCAGCCCACTCTGCACACGGAGGTTCTTCCCGCCGGGCTCGCCCCCCTGCGGCCGCCGTGGAAGGCCCGGTTCCGTGCTTCGCAGAGCTGAATACTGTCGATGGGAGACCTGTGTGGCGGGGGTGAGTTCCTCCTCTTGATACCAGTTTTTTTTATAAACAGATGATCATTCCAGAGTGATTCTGAGCCAAGTGGACGGAACCCCCTGTTCGGACTACATCAATGCCTCCTACATAGATGTAAGTGCTCTGTTTTCCCGTCGCCCGGCTCGGTGCCACGTGCACACCTGGGCCATTTGGGGGCTGAGTGGCCACTTTCTTCTCTGGGTCCGGGAATGTAAATTGTCACCATCTTCCGGCCAGTCTGGCCATAGCACAGGGAGCGTCCACTTTTTTGAATTAGTGTCTGTGTTGCATTTTCAAGAAACATAAGCACCAAGGATATTCTTTACAGCTTTGTTTATATTACTGACAAAATAGAACAGGAGAGACCAGTTAAATAAATAAATAGTAAAACAATACACACTGGATTATTACAAATCCATTTTAATTGGGCCTTAAAAGGTCATTTAATATAAATTAGAAAATTATCATAAAAATATAAGAGAATTTGTATGTGTAAACCAATTAAATATATGTAAGTGTCTGTGTGTCTGCCCATGGGTGAGTCTCAGAAGATATTCACAGGAGAAAAAGGCCAGAGAGGGACATGTGAAAATAGCCTGTGTCGTTCCTGGAGTTACTGGTGAATTTTCTTCTCACTTTTGTGTGTGTGTTTTCCAAATGTTTCCCGATGAATAGGTATTGCTTTCCTAACAACAATAAAAGAGTCTTTTTCAGCAGAGATAATTTTGAAAACTTATAAATCTGATTTTATTCTTTCTAGTTTTCTGAATTATTCTGTATATTCTTTATAATTTTGAAAAATTATAAATCTGATTGTATTCTTCTAGGGTTACAAGGAGAAGAATAAATTCATAGCAGCTCAAGGTAAGCTTGTTATGGCTCCTTCTCATCACAGACTCAGACACACACCCGCACATGCACTCACACACACGTTCACCCACACACACGTTCACCCACCCATACACACACACACAAACTCACATTCACACACACACATTCACACATACAGTCACACACACACACAAACTCGCACGCACCTGCACACTCACACTCACACCACATCCGGGTGTGACATTCTGAGACTGTGGAGCACTGAGTGGCCACAAACCGCTTGGACCTGGAGCTGCAGATCCAGCTCTCGCTTTTATACATCACTGCCTGTGACTGTCACCTAAACCGCATCCAGGGACCCAGCTCTCTGAGGATTTCCCAGCTCCAGGCCGGATGGGGTGGGGAGGCTGGGGGCCTGCTGGTCCCTCCCAGCTCCTCAGGTGCTGGAATCCTGGGGGGGCATGAGCTGGACCCACCAGCCCTTTTGTGCCTCAGAGAATCAGGGAGCAAGAGGTGCAGGGCTGCGGCCAGGGTGCCCAGGGCTGGGCTCCTCCACGACTTTGTGAGCCTGACGGGCATCCTCTCTGTAGGCCCTAAACAGGAAACAGTTAACGACTTCTGGAGGATGATCTGGGAACAGAGGTCAGCGACCATTGTCATGTTGACGAACCTGAAGGAAAGGAAAGAGGTGAGCGGGGTCCCTGACTCAGAACTTTCCTCTGCTGCTGATGCT